TCTTGGATGAAATGTCAGAGTCGGTGATGCTTTTACCGTTCGGTTTCGCAGTAGCCGCCATGGCTAAGCAGAACACAGCTTCTCAATCGTCAATATAGTCTCTGTAATTGAAGCAAAAGTTAGTGTCAATTGAAACTCTAAAACCAAAACAGAGAGAGAGAGAGAGAGAGAGAGAGAGAGAGAGAGAATTACATTTGTGAAGTTGCTTTTGGTTTTGGTTTGTGAGGTCTCAGAGTGATATAATCAACTGCAAATGATGAGCATAAAGGAATTTAAGAGAGAATCTGAGTGGAGGAGGGAGGAGATATTTTCATAACGGGTCCAAAAGAGAGAGAGAGAGAGAGAGAGAGAGAGAGAGAGACTTTTATGGGGAAAGAGACAAAGAGACACAGAGAAGGAGAATTTTGGAATTGAACAGAAATATCAGAGAGAGATTGAGAGACGGAGGAGGAGGAAGAAGAAGAAGAAGAAAAGTGGTTTTTATTATTTTAATGTTTCCGTTGGAGTGATAAAGAGTGAGTGAAGTGAACGTGAACGATCACATGAAAATGGAGCCAAAAGAGAGCGGACTGGGATCGAGTGAGAGGTGCGCATGCCACGCTTTGCTTCTTTTGGGGATCACATTTTGATATTTTCCTTTTGCCTTTTTGGAACTTGAGGAATGGACGATACGTGGCTGCATTTGATTAAGGTACCTATGATCACGTGTGCATGTAAGAATTTTTCAATGAAAGTTGGAGTTAAACTTCTTGGTTGTCCATGTACACGCATGAATTACTATCAACTGTCGATGCATTGTGAGATTCACTTGCGTGCTTTGGTAAACATAATCTATATGTGCTAGTGGAAAGTTTTTTTCTTTCCTAATAACTTACCTATCACGAGTATCATGTTTTGTTGTACTATGATAGCATAATGATATGATACAAATGTTAAAAGGGTTTTTTCCAAAAGTTTGTGTTTGGGTTCTACATGTCCTCTCAAATGTTGAGATAGAAACAGACACTGAAAACATAAAATCTGATTGCCATTCAAATTCAATATTGAAAAATTGGGTTTTATACACAAGACTTTACATAGATCTAGTAATGCATGAACAAAAGAAAAAACAATGTGTGAGCAAAAAATTCCTTTAAGTTCTTATTAGCTAGGCAGAGATAAACTTATAGCTTTCGCCATCTTCAATCCCAAATGATGTCTGCCGAGTCTTCTTTGCATCTCTCACAGGAAAATTGGCAGAGTAGTGAGGTGTAGAAGAAAGAGAGATGGCTTTTTCTCTAAAGTCCTTGCGAATTCCCCATAAGATTTCAGCACATTTTTGCATGGAGGGTCTTGACTGTCTTAAAGGTGCAAGGCATTGCTTAGCTAGCATGAGAATTTTCTCCAACGCCATGGTTGATGCTGGATTTCTCCGTAGCTTTGGATCCATGATGAGTATGGCATCTCCTCGTTTCAACATTTGCATTGCCTGCAGATGAACATATTGTTAATTTATGGTTGACAATATAATGATCGGAAGCTTCTTTCTTTGATGCAATATTGTCATTTCATTAGTTTAAGGAAATTCATCAAAAAAGAACAATTAGTTTAAGGTAAAACTATTGGATGGTCTTATGCATTTGAAGCTAAACAACACTTTCATTTTCAATTTTCACTAGAATTATGAGTTTCCAATTTTGGAATATCCTCTGTCAGATATCCAATGTATGCTGAACATGGTTTGGCTGATGTTTGGTTCATAACACTTCATTACCCAATGTTTGTCTATAACACATGGGAACAGGCCATCTGAAGAGGAAGATGAAATGGGCAAATGCAACTATGGTAGTTTGATTTGATGACTGTCTCATTTGCAGCATAAGGAACAAGGTGGGTGTTACGAGAGCTGGACCGATGTGATCTGTCTTTATGCTCTGCAGAAACATGTGATGAATATCCAAAGTAAAGGAACTCCAGGCTCAGCAATGACTAACTAATAATGTAAGGTGGAAATATAGGCAATTTTTACTGCAAAGCAACACACACACCCAGAAAAAGACAGCACGACAGATTTCCATTTTCATGTTCGTTTACCGATCTCAGGATGCTTAAACACTTGTATTCTTACCCATCTTGTTGTTAATCTTTCATTGGTTGGCTTTTGTGGTTCGATGGGCCGTCTTCCTGTCATCAGTTCTACAAGCAAGACACCAAAGGAATAAACATCACTCTTTTCAGTGAGTTGATAAGTCTTCAGGTACTCGGGATCCAAGTATCCTGCTGTTCCCTTTATTTGAGTTGAAATGTGAGTTGCATTGGGGTCTGCTGACAATCGTGCAAACCCAAAGTCCGCCACTTTAGCCCGAAATTTCTCTGTGATGAGGATGTTTAATGATTTGATGTCTCGGTGGATTATCGGAGGATCTGTCAAATACATGAGAGATTATAGGTTGTCAAATGCCAGTACGATAATAAGAAATTATCACAAGGAGTTCTGTTCTTGACCAAGATGTACACATGTTAAAACAGGCCCGCCTTCTGCTTATTTTACTTTCCATAATATAACAAGAGGAAAGCTAAAAGTATGTTTCTACAATGAAGTCCATAAATTCAGATAAAATGGGGAGCAAGATGAAAAGCCCTCTGTAGCCATGCCTGAACTTATGTACTACAAGTATGAAGCTGCCTAACATAGACTTTTGGAGGATAATTTGGCCCGAGTTCGTACTTTGGACTGATAATCATGTACATACCTGTATACATGTGAAGATAGGTAATTGCATGAGCCACATCAATAGCAATGTCCAAACGTTCTCCAGCTTCAAGTCCATTTCCCAGTGTACCTTCATGAATAGATGACTGTTTTATCAACATGATTTTTCTGGACTATATTTTTAGAACTTTCTCGTTCTAATGATATTCAGACTATCGAATGACCACAGCAATAGGAGAGAAATACAGAGCTTCCACATTGGGAAAGGTGTTCTGAGCTTCATGTAAAACCCAACCAGACAACTAAAAAAGCTAATTTTTTTCAACTGAAGAATAAAGGAAACAGAACACTACCGATGATCCTTCACCAGTCGTGGTAAGCAGAACTAGATATGATAGATAGACTACTGGTTCTTTAAATAAATAAATAAAATAGAAGGATCATATCTTTAGAATGCATTGTCCATAATTTCTCATTCTAGTTTTTTTATCTATCTCTTTTTGTTACATCATGTCAGATTTCCAGTTTCTCAGTAGAAACTTACATATTCCACCTGAATTTATGTCTACCAGATACTCGGCTATTTCTGATTTTCGGCTTCTACTGACTAACCCTCTAGAGTTTAATAACTAGTTTTTAAAAGACTTACCATCCAGATGTTCCCGAAGCGTTCCATTGCCAACATATTCAACCACAATAATCCGCTCGTCTCCATGCTCCAAATATCCATATAACCTTACCAAATTCAGATGTTCAATCATGGACAAGGTAAGTATCTCATTCTTGAACTCCAATGCTATGAGCTTGTCATATGTGGCCTGCACAAAATTTCAAGTCATTTTGCAAGGAAACAGCAAAAGACATTAACTATTGCCCTAACCATGCTTTAGCAATTTCGAAGAATTCTACCTGTTTCCAACAGTGATATCATTTACTCATCATATCAATGATTCTACTCATAAACTCTTTCAAGAAAAGGGAAGCTTAAGCAATACTATTATTGCAATAATCTGTATAAGGTACTATCACAATTATCGAGGCATAGTTGTCTATACCTTCTTGGCACGCTTTACAGCAACAAGAGATCCATCTCCAAGCCTTCCCTTGTACACTGTTCCAAATCCACCCTCACCAATCTTATTCGCTGGAGAGAATTTTTCGGTTGCTTTGAAAATCTCTTCGTAAGAAAAATTCTTTGTCTCAATTACTCCACTCAGAGCCCTAGAAGAACTATTGGACTGAGAGAGCTTAAACTTTGATGAGCTCTTACTCCTAGTGTCACTCGCTGTTGAAATATCAGTTGAAGCTGCAGGGTACAAGAAAATATCAATTAAATCAATTCTCTCTGCATGATATTTGACTTTTGAAAGAACCCCACCAGCTAAACCATTCTATGCATCTATATATAGCTATAGCATCTACCAACCAATCTGCAATATACATGATTATATCAGATTGATGCAGAACCAACATGAAACTTACAGGAAATCCCGCTGATTCGGGTATTAGTTCTTCTTGCATCAATCACATCAGCACCCTTTGGGATGGCCTCTCTTTGTCCAAAAAGAAGAATTTTGAAAACGCCAGCAACTTTCTTCACAGCAGCCTTCAGGGCAGCAAATCTCTTGTGCTTGGGTTTGTTGTTGTTGGCATCTTCATCTTGGAAATTGGAAATTGGTTTTCTTCCGTTTGAGTGCAGATTATGAGGGCTTGGTGTTTTCTTCATTTCCAGAACTTATGGAGTAACTTTTGACCTACTGATGTGATATTGATCATATCTTTCGCTGGAATGTAACGAAATTGGCATTTGTTGTTTATATTCAGCGTTCTTGTATTTATGGATCTCACCCATAAATTTATTACATGAATGTCGATGTTTCTTAAAGACTTAACTTTTGCATTTGGCCAAATGTTTATGCATTGTGAGACTAATTCAAGCAATTAGTCGTGATTCCATGTCTAATGAAAGACAACTCAGCAACACTAATTTGAATTTTTAAACTTTGTATGATTGGCTCAGTAGAAGAATTTTATAAGGTAGCCCAAAAACAAAAGTAAGAAAATTTTATATTATTTGGTCAATATTGGACAGTATTTAATAGTCGGCAGTGGCACATCCTCAGCACTACTCAAGTGTGGGCCTAGACAGAACGAAAAAACCCAGAAAGCCCAATGATTGATTTGAGATATTTGACATATTAATTTAAATTTGGATATCGGCCAAGAAAGAAAATGCTACCATTAGTCGTTCTCCATTAATGTAGAAGACAATGTGAGGAACCAACAACATCTTTGAAACACAGTAAAAGAAGAGTGAATCCAGCATCATACCCCTGAAACACATTTATACATATCTTTTACAAAATTTGGTAAACAGAATCCCCATGTGCACCTGAAACAAACTGTTGATGCATGAGGAAGAGGAACACTAAAAAAAATCCACTGTACACATTTTGGATTCATACAAAGGACAAAAAGGTTATTTATCGATTACAGAGGATGGCTTCCGACTTTCTGTACCATTCCTCAAGTCTGCCTTCCCACATTCTGTCCAATTCCATAAGTCTGCTCCATTAGTCACAGTTGAACAAGCATAACCATTATCATCGACACGCGATATGATGTTGCCACCACCAGCAGTCTTAGAATATCATTCATTAGCTGTCAGGCAAAATTAATGCACAAACATCAGGAATATAAAAATGTGTAATGCGTAAACGGTACAAGTATAACAAAGCAATAACAAATTGATCATGCATAGTTTATATCCCCATAGTTCCACCCATAAAATGGGTTCCATGAATTTGACCATATTCCAAAGTCAATGTATTTCCTTAAAATGTTGTTTAGAAAGCTAACATCTGGTGACTGAAAACTACATGTATGGTTTTTGCAAAGACAGTGTCATGTAACAGACATTAATCCTACAAAATCCAACTGAAAAAAGTTTAGAACCCTCCAGAAAGGAAAAGGGGGTGGGGTCGGTGGGAATATTGAATTCAAACAATCGATAAAATACAATAATACTTACTAGGTTCATCAAAATTTACTCTCTCTCCAGTAGAAAATACGTCGTAGAAAAGGGCAGCAAGAACATATAAGAGTGATGTAAACAACAGAAATCCCTGGAAAGAACCCACAAGTTCAACAAAGAAACCAGCTCCAACGGTTCCCAAAATGGCAGCGAATGTTCCAGCAGTATTTGAAATTCCTAACACAAAAACAAAGGGTTGACAATATATCGTACAAAGTTAATAAGTTCAAAAAATTAGTATTTCACTGATTTACACTACGCTCTTGAAGCATTCATTTATTGAAAATTTTATTCTAGTTTCCCATACCATGTAAAACACCAGAGTATTGTGGAGCGATCTCCTGGTTAAAGAAAGAAAGAAATAATTAAGGCACAGAAAAAGTGGAGAATCAATTCTAAGTGTAATAACAAATATATGACTCAAATATCACTATGCCAACCTGAAGATTCACAAGAAAACCAGAGTGACTAAAAGATTTCAGCCCTACTGCTAAAGTAAGCCAAGCAGATGCAACTGCTGGACTTTTTGCTGTAGTTAAACCCACAAGAGCTATCCCAGGACCAAGGAAACCGATTGACTGCAGAGAAAGAACAAATATCACATTCCATAAAGCATGACCAGAAATTAATTTCATATGGTATATATAGTTTCTTAAAAGAACAACTTTGACAGGGCTACTTTTTTCTTTATGGTACTATCACAGAAGATGAGAAGAACTTTTGATCATACTAAATTTCCTGATTACAAGTATGCAATATAATTTTGGCAAATAAGCTCGAACTAGGAAAGTTTCTTTCTCATCTATTCTATTGATTATCCAATTCCTATTTGAAGCGAGACCTTCAGATTATGGAGGACCATCAGCCTTTTAGTCGAAGGCTGCATTACAGTAGAACTAGTATATCAAATTTTATTTCCTAGACATACCTGCATGATCTTTCGAGTTAAAGTGACACTCATGCCATTCCGTATCATTATGTCTGACCACAACCCACCAATATATCCCATGATTGCCATGACAGTCCATGGAACAGCACTAAACCAAGCGGCTTGTCTGAGGTCAACATGATACACCTGTAGTAGTGAGTCATACATAAGCTACATAACCCTCACAATACAGAGAGGAAAAGAAATTATAGCTAGGTATTAGGCCTCACTGAGTTGAAGTAAATGGGCATCCAGGAAAGAAAAATGAAAAAACCCTGCACAATTTGAAAAAAGGAAAAAAAATAAATAATGAGTTCGTGTAGACATATAATTTCCGCTCAAGGGTAAAATGTAAAAATGAACGGACACAAGAACTATCTAAAGAAAGTTTGCCCCCGCTTAGATTGACGATATATTCAACGCATGTAAGGGACAATAAAAACATGATTCTCAGAGTAGAATAACCTGGTATGAGATATATGCATTACCCAGCTATGCATGGCATTTGCGATTATTAGGGACCAGGTTGGCAGTTTAGAAAGCAAGCGCCTGAAAGGAGGGATCACTTTGGTTGTCTTAGGTTTATTCTCTACCAAGGAATTCTTCCGCTCGTTCAATATGTACTCCAATTCATACTTTGATATCTGAGGATTTCGGTCAGGAGTACTTGATGTTGCAGATAACCATACCAAAACCCAAAGAAACCCAGATAAACCAAAAATCACAAATGGTCCGAATATACCACCTTGTGACATGAGGATTGGAGAAAGCATGAGTCCTACTGAACTTCCAAGCTGAAATCCAGCCATAGCAATTCCAACAGCCCTGGCCCGTTCAGTTTGAGGAAACCATCTGAAACAAAAAGTTGATACTTAGATTAACATCTTATCTTCACCTACTGTTCACCAAAAAATAACCTGTTCGGAAGCACTTCTTGTATATTAATTTAATGTAAATTGAAAATAAAGAAAGCAAGTTTTGTAGGCCATCTTTACCTTGCTACCATGTTGTTCATGCAAGGAAGAGCCACTCCTTCTGCAATGCCGAGGAGAGCTCTCATAGCAAGGAGAGCCCACAGAGAAGTCTCTGCAGCCCATGGTGTCAGAAAGGTAGCTAAAGACCACAAAGCCACTCCCCAGGCCATGACTACCTTACCACCATAATAGTCCACAAGAGTACCTCCAGCTATGGGAGATATGAGGTACCCCCAAAGGAAAGATGACTGCCATAAGTGATTTTTCCAATAAGTTTCAAGTACTTTAGACTATGTACTCCCATCTAAATAAAATTTTTAGAGCAATTTTCTTGAAAACCCAGGAGTTAAACTGTTTTAGCTAAAATAATAACACTGCTGACAGTACATTAAGTCGAAAGATCGAACATTTTCAGATATTTGAACAGCTTCTCCACTCCCCAATAAAATCAATCACCAATTATTTGTTAGATAATTTTTGGTCAACTCTTTGGTGATTGGAAGTCAACCTAAGCAAATTACTCATTTTGCATTTTTCATTTCTGTAACAATTTTCTTTAAGATATATGATCAGTCCCTCAACTGAAAGGCATTACAAAATTCAAACTTTTTGTGCTTCTAGATATCTTAAATTCGAAGAAATTTACTTCAACCAGAATTAAAAGAGATATACCAAACAGCTAAAAAAAGATATGAGCAGCAAAATCACCTGAACAATACCAGCAAACGATCGGCTCCAACCGTTAGAAAGCGATAACGGTACAATCGCCACCGACATCACAACCCGGTCTGCGTTACAGAGAGCCAAAGCCAAAGCAAGCATCGCCACCACTTTGACCCTCTCGGAGGTGATGAACTCAGCGAAACTCGGCGCCTGAGCTTCGTTCTCGTCCGGAAACGAACCAAACTGAGCGTTTTTGGAGGAAACCCCAACTCGGTGCGAGAAAGCGGTGCGGAACTCAGCCGAGTCATGCCGAAGTCGAGTTCTCAGCAGCGAGCTACCGGAAGAAACGTCTCGGAATCGGTTGTTTCGGTTCGTCGAGTCGAAGAAACGCGGAAAAGGTTGGAGCTTCGGCGTTTCGGGTATCGGAACGTTACGGTCTCGAGAAAGAGTGAGATAAGAACTGCGGATTGCAGAGTTCATGGTGTGTAGCGCGACGGCAGAGAAAGTCACAGTCAGCAGAGGACTGTGTGACGACGAAAATCGGGTGTAAAATGTTGTCCTGTTAAAATTACGGCGACTGCCCTCTTGTTTTGCTTAAAGTGTGTTAGGTGGGTCTGTAAATTTGGCGAAAGATAGAGGGTTAAGGTGGACATCTGTATGTTCATTAATTTTGTATCCAGGGCCGTTTCTCGTAATTATCAGCATACAGTTGGTCCATTTCAGTTCAAATGGCATATTAGTACTGGTGTTTTCAAATAACGTGTTAATAGTTATACTTTTTTCTTTCTTATTTTTCAATTTGCTAAAGTTAGGAAGGGGTGCGGTGAAACTCACATACATGATTCACGTACATTAGTATTATCGGGGCTTGAATTTAGGACAACATCAAAGGTATGTGCCAATCCAACTAACACTCTATTGGTGTTATACTTTTCTTCTCAAGTGAAAGTGTAAATTGAGTGTAAATGACCTACTTGTCACGTGATTGCATGCAATTAGTTTTAACGAAAATTTTAATTTCTTTTTGGCCAAAACGAAATTTTTGATGAAATATGATGATAAGGAGGATAGATCAAATTTGTGGAGTGAGAACTTTGAATAGTTGACAAATTATTAAAAAAAAAACTCTAAATATATTGAAATTGTTTTTAGAACTCTTAAATAGATACTTCTTCCACCCTTATTTCTTTTCATTATGAAATACAAAATGACTAATTTGAAGCGCTAATAATCTTTGTTATGTAATAAGTTTCATGTGTATTTTATAATCAAGGTCATTTTCTGGTATTTTAAATATTTCACCACTTTCCGCCTTTTGCTTTATATATATAAATTCATTCATACTTATTACTTTTTATTGTTATTATATAAATTATTCCTTTTATAATAAATAAAAAAATCCCTAATTGAAATGGGAACGGTCAGTTGTCTATAGCAAACCATACGATTTGATCATGTTTCTTCATTTAAATATAAAAAAGAATACAACTTTTGCATATTCATTAGAGCATTGAATTGAAGCATGGTTCACCATTAAACAAAACACAAGTTAGGCAAGAGCTACCATTTACACTTCCTATATAAAACATTAGAAAGTTTAGCATCCAAGTCAATAGAAGGCCAATTGGGAAGAACAGGCCAATAACCAATTGGTCATTTGGTCTCTGTCCTTCCAAGGCCAGCAACTGCGCCATGAATGTTGATCCATACCATTGTCAACATTCTGAATCTTTAATCAATAAAAAAATAATCAACTATAAATAGAAAGCAATCCCAAGGGAGATTCACCCTTGTTCCCCCACCCCCCACAAGAAGTTCGTTTACTCCGGATATAATTCATATTTATATGTGCGGAAGACTCAGAGTTTGCTAGAAGCTTGTGGACGAAACAATGAAAGTCTACCTTCAGCAATAATCTCACCAGTTGCTTTGTTTCTCACAAGTACCAACGTTCCAGTGCAACCTCCTCTTTGCCCTAACCTTTTTGAGATGATCTCTAACTCATCCTGCAATTTTGACATCAAGAGAAGTCATATGTTAATAGTCCTTTCGGGGCATCCGCTAAAATTGGAACGATATAGAGAGTCAAATGTTATAGCAAGCCAGAAATATAAATGCAGATTTTATATCAAGAGAGCATTTTAGCTCACCTCACTTAATTGGTGGTGAGCATTGCTACCACATTAACGGCGGTTGGATGAGTTTAATTTTTGCGATTCTTGTAGCATGTAAATTAAATCACACTCATTCAACGTCAATTAATGTAGCGGTATGCTCACCACCAATCAAGGGCGATGAGTAAAAATGCTCTCTTATATCAAACACACATAACAACGAAAGATCCAAAACACTAGAAACAGAGAAGAACAGCCAAGAGAGATCAGGTGCTACATGCATGGGAGTGATAACCACAATATTTTTTAGGATTGGTGACCATTTTAACAACCACATTCTGCAAATAAAAATATGAATGGACATATTTCTGATCAATCATTTGATGTCAAAGAGAAAATCTGTTGGGGAGGCTTGCTTAAATGTCAAAGAGAAATGGGGATTTGAGGGGAAGGCTTTTGCTTACATCAAGCTTGGCAGTTGAGAGATAGGAGATAGACATGTCCACTGAAACATTCATAGGTAGACCCTCAACAAAATCTACGGAAATACCGACAACATCAACCAGGTTTGCAATTGCCCCATTGGCCAACTTCCCAGTTCTATCCTGCAAACAAATTAAAGAACCAAAATAAAATATTTGGCATATAAAAATACCAATTGTACAAAAGTGTCCAACACAAAAATCAAAGCTGTTTGGTCGAGAGATCTCATAAGTTAAACATAGTTATACTAGGCACTTAGTTCAACTAAGTCTATGGCATGCTCAACCCACATTCAAGACCCGATTTCAGGAGGCGAAATGCATACCCAAATTATCTTTCTTCAGGTGACCAGAGGCTGTTAAAGTGAGGTTTTCAGTTCCTTCCTAGTGTAGAATGATTAACACCTTATCATATTCAAAAGGGCAATGCAGAAGTTTAAGCTTCGCACAATGTCAAAATAATTCAACAAAAAAACTTGAGCCATTATGGGAAGAGACCCAATAGTGAAAGAACACTAATTTGCTCTTATGGATAAAAGAGTGATTTCTCCCTACAAGCAAACAAAACAAAAATAAATAAATAAATAAGTCCAAGTGGGCATAGGTTAAATTGTAAATTTGAAATTTGTCTCAAATTGTAAGGAGAAATGATTGTTCATGCATAAAGTAGCTACAAGACGAGAACTTTTAATTGTTAAATATAACTCAAGGCAATTAGCGGAACAAATCTAAATACAACGTGAGTTACAACTTTCATGGAGTAACTAATCACGCAAAATAATATCAAATTACCAACTAAAAATAATCAAGCTCCAGCTGAAATTACCTAAATTTTTAAGTTTAAAACAAAAATTGTTCTCAAAATTTTGGCCTGAAATTAAAGAACCCATTTTCAATTTGAATTTTGAAGAAATTAATTCGAAAATGTACTTGCAAATACAACCAAACGAGTGACTTACAGTGAGGCGGGGAGGGACCTTGAAAGAACAGACGATGAGTCCGGGTTCGACTCGGACGACTCGGTTGCCTGCAAGAGCGAAAGCATCGTAGAAGCTCTTCCCTTCGCCCGCTTGCCGTTCTGGAACATCCAGTCGCGACACGGCCTCGGACTCGTCCTGACTCAGCCCCAGAAACTTCTTCGCCCTCTCCATTTCTCCTTCGTCGTTCGGATCCGTCTCTCTCAAGACTCGCTCCGGCCACTGGTAAATCAACGTCGCAATGTAAAGAGCATGCTTGCTGGCTCGAAAATGACGGCACGTGATCGTTTACGTCTGTAGAATGATGGGCCTACCGTTGAGGCCTGGACTGCGGGTTCCAAGAGTTGCAGGGAGCATTAGATTTAGGGGAGCCTCATTCTAGCCTCTCCATTAGATTTAGATATTTGTAAACTCACTCATGGGCCATAAGTCCCAACATTGTTTTGCTTTTAAATTAAGGGTCCAACTCAGGTCGAACAATCCGGAGATTTGTGTTGATACAAGCGAGATTAGTGGAAAAAGAAAATTTAACTTAGGACATAAGGTGTATGGATAACTGCTCTTAACCACTTGAATTATAAGTCCCGAATCATGAATTCAACTTGCTTTTTTAATCCCGATTGAATATGTTAGAAAAAGGTAAAAACATTCATGAATTTGAATATGACGTCATCCCGATTATTTCTTGATTTAAGTTAGGTAAAGGCCTTGTCCGCCTAAAGTACTTGCACTCTTCCTGTGTCACTGTTGCGCACAAGTGTGAAAACTTAATTTTGAGTACAAATAACATTTTCTTTGAATTAAAGATTACAAAATTTAGCATCAAGTCACAAAAAGGCCAAATACGAATAGTATAATAAAGAAGAATCTGGGCCACAAAAAGGCCAAATACGAATAGTATAATAAAGAAGAATCTGGGCCAACAACCTGGTCTCTGTCCTTCTAAACCCTACAATTTATTGCAGAAAGAAACAAACTCACAGTTTGGGAATGGGACCAACATGTGAACGAAACAATGAATGTCGACCTTCAGCTATAATTTCCCCAGTTGTTTTATTTCTTAAAATGACTATTGTTCCAGAACAACCTCCTACTCGTCCTAACATTCTTGAAGTTATCTCTAGCTCGTCCTGCAATTTGACATTAAAAACATAATCATATGTTAAAAGTCCCTTCTCGGATATCTGATAAAATTAGAACGATACAAAGATGATATGAACATGATGGATACACCACACACACGTGACAAGTAATTATGGTAAATCCCACAACTAGAAACACAAAATGATAGCCAAAATGAAATACAAAATTATGAAGCCTGCTGGGGTTAGCTTAAATAACTAGAGTGGTTGGAGAAATGGGTTAGAATTAGGAGAAATTCTAGGGTTCGAATCAGGTCAAGCATACGACCACACACACTCTCGTCCTACCCATTTGAGTGTGTTGCTGTATACGCAAAGTGCACACAAGAACTGGTGCCTCTCCCAATCGTTTTATTTGCAACCAAATTTTGCAAGTAAAAAGGAAAAAAAAACTAAAGGAATTATTTCTAATCAATTTAAACCAGACATGTATCAAAGAGAAATGGGGACTGGAGTGGAAAGCTTTACTTACATGAAGTTTGGCTGTTGACATGTAGGAGATGGAAATGTCCACAGAAACATTCATAGAGAGGCCTGGAACATAAGCTAAGGCAGCACCAACTATATCAACAAGGTTTGCAATTGCACCGTTAGCCAAATTTCCACTTCTATCCTGCGAACAATTTACATTTAAAACTCTCTTATATTAAACAAAACCTTTTCAATAGCCACGTTAATTAAGGAAAAAGAAGAAGAAAAAAAGTGTAAGGGTTTGTAGCTCAAGCGATTAATTTCGAGAAGACTCACGGTGAGGCGGGGAGGGACCTTGAAAGAACAGACGACGAGTGCTCCGGGTTCGACTCGATCCAGTCGGATGCCTCGAAGAGCGAAAGCATCGTAGAAGCTCGACTCGCCGTATCGGGTAGCTGGAATGACGAGTTGCGAGACGGCCTCTGACTCGTCCTGGGTCAGCTCCAGAGACTTATTCACCTTCCTCATCTCCATATTTGCTTTCCCACCCACCTACCGAACCTTCGCTCGGATCCAAAACTGAGAATCGGCCTTAAAGGGTAGACTGGCATTAAAGTGAAAAGTGCCTTACCGTTGACAATTTCAACTTAGACATATAAAAAGCCGCGTGATGCATACCCAAAATAATATTCATATATAATGGATAATAAAATATGAGATTTTCTATTTAAACCCCACACTTCTCTTAGTTCACCCCATATTCTAAGTTCACCCCATCTTTTAATTTAAATTTTCACAATTTCTAAGAAAACCCCACTATCTTCCCAAACTACCCTTAAATACACCCCAAACTGAAAAAATAAGAAATAAAAGAGATTTTCTATTTAAACTCCACAATTTTCTTTGTTCCCAGTAGAAAAAAACACAAACAAATGGAACCCCAAACCCGATATTTAATACTTTCTAGAGAAAGAGAACAACTTTACCTCTCTTCAAGAACTATAACTGGAATTCCAACACTTAGGTATTGTTGAGAGAGAGAGGGAGAGAGAGAGAGAGTGAGTGAGTTTGTAAACAGGAAGTTGGGGTGTGTGGGGTGTGTGTATAGATGTACTAGGGTTAATTATTAAGTTGGATGACCTTTTTTGTCTTTTTACACAATAATAAAATTTACAGCTTAATCATTTAAGTATTAGAGTGAACAAAAAGAACTGCGGGGTTTAAATAGAAAATCTCTAAAATAATAATAAAGAAAGAACTGGGACTGGCATTGCTTCGACCATTATAAAATCAACATCGCAATGTAAAGAGCATATTGCTGCCAAATGATGGGCCCCTGGACTATCATGGCCCATAACTCAACATTGTTTTGTGAACTCCCTGAGACTATGGTGGGGCACACTCTTCTGCAGCATTGTTCACTGCTTCTCTGTGGCATTGTTGGAAATGGAGATGCAATTCCATTTTAAAACCTGGTTATGAGCCTCAGCCATATCCTCATCACACACACGATTCTGCAGTCTGCTAGTGAGTAGTTTGAGATTAATAATGCTATTAATATTAAGCCTACAGGAGAAGTCATTCAAATCCACTGGAGTCCTCCATTGTAATTGATGTTGGTCTGCTAAGGGACTCTAGTTGAACATGGATATGTGGGTTTTCTGCTAATCTTGGGACTGGAAATATTATTGAGACTGAGTTATGGAGTCTCTTTAGAGGGTCGTACATGACTTGGGCTAAGTGCATTAGGTCCCTTTATATCAAAGGTGATTCCGTGTATGTTGTTTATTTGATTACTTGTAAGCAGTCTCACCCTCTCCTTTGCTTGATTGAAGATTGTGAGGTTTTATTGAACCTGACTGGAGATTAGGGATGGCAGAAATCCTCATCGGGTCAGGTTCCCGACCCTAATGGGGGGAGATTTCAAGGGAAAATGGGAATGGTATTGTTAACTCCTGTTTGTACAATATCTGGCCAAGCATTTCCAAGCATTTCCAAGCTAATCCAAGCAAAGGGAAGGGAGTCCCACATCGACAAAACACAAGAGAAGGGGACTCTCCCTTCCCTATAAAAGAAGACCCCTCTCCTTCAAAGGAGATGGATGAAGAAAGAGGTTGGGCAGGCTACTAGGGCCTCATGGGCTTACCCATGAGCCCATTTACAAGCCCACAAATCATCGGCCATCGGCCAGATCCTCAGCCTTCGGCCATCAGCCTTCGGCCTTCGGTATTCTTCCTCTTCCCCTCGGGTCTAACCCTATGTACAATGTATACACACATTATTATAATGAGAACATACTTCTCTGTGGACGTAGCCCATCATTCGGGTGAACCACGTACATTTGTCTTCTGTATGCATGTCCATTTACTTACCGAATGCTCTTACATACTGAGGGTCCTCACCCTCAACATCCACCTCATCTTTAAGTTGGCCTACATACTATCTGTCTAGTTTTAGCGCAAACAGATTGGCGCCGTCTGTGGGAAACGACACAAAACGCTATGTCGTTCTCCTTCACGAGTGCTCTCGGCACCCTTTTGAGCCATGCCCTCGGAACCTCCTACCCTCT